CTTAAAACATAAATTGCATGAAAACTTAAAGACAAGAAAACATAAACTAGGCGTTGAAAGCAATTAAACCTAGGTGAGAGCTTGGAAAGCACCAAAGACTTCTAAGGACCCTCTCACAAGTAGTACACGAATTTACTACTTGAACACTTAAGGAGAGATGGAGATACACCAAAGGCACTCCAAGACACTCTTTAATAAAGGCCTTGTACAAAAAAATTGAAAATTAAAAGATTACAAGAAAATGAAATGCAAATTTACTTCAAATGAAATGCAAATTCACACTCCAAATGAAATGTAAATTCACACCAAATGGAATGTAAATTCACAATCAAATGAAATTAGTGGCTGCACTTAATTTCAAAGAAAACAAAACTTGTTATGGCAACTGCACAATCTTCGGGGGCTTGAAATAAAATCAAATGATAACATATGAATAGAGAAGCTTTGACGGAAACATAAGTATTATACAAGTTCTTCATTTGCTTTCTTTTCTTCTTCCTCTAGTTCTTTCCTCAGTTCCAGCTCTTCTTTATACAAGTTTTCAGCGGCTTTAGCCTGTCAATTGGGTGGTTCAAAAAGATTCTAATTAGAGGTTATATCGACTTGCAATTTCAGCACACCACAACACAACCTAACGTGATGCTTATCCATTAGGAGCCTGTTTGAATACAAGATTATAAGGGATTTTGATAACTTCTGTACTAAAAATAACGAACTTTTTTTCCAATAAAAAAACTCTCAAAAGCACTTCTTACTAGTATCCAAACAAGTTCTAAATGATTTTAGCATCATTTAAGCTTTTTTAAGGTTAGCTCATACACCCCAATTATACATTTTAGATCTGATAAATGATTTACGCCACTTGGAATAATTTAAAAACAAAAAAATTAGGTACAAACAACTATAATTAACTTTTCCACTTTATAAACATGATCATCTACACAATGAAGAAGAGCTCAACAAAAGAAAATTTACCCTGCGAATAGCATCAATGGCATCATTTTCAACTTTCCCACGCCTAACAGTTTCTTGATATGCATCCCTCCTAGCATTCGTAGCCTCAGCCATTGCCTGTTCAATTTGATCGTAGACAGCATCGTCCATACTAAGAATAGAAGGTGACCTCGTCGGGGAAGAAGCCCTTCTCTGCCTACGCGTAGAAGCTTCTTGGCCTCGGAAACCCTCTCGAACTTGGACAAGGCAAAGATCAAGGTGTTGTAGGTGACGAGGTCAGGTTCCACGCCTTGCTCTTTCATCTTGTTGTAAACCTCGATGGCCTCCCTCCCCCTGCTGAGGGCGCAATAGCCTTTCATGATGGTGTTGTAGAGGAAGCAATCGGGCTTGAAGCCCTCGCGGTGGAGGACGACGACGAGGCGCGTCGCCTCTCGGAGGTTCTTGGAGTTGCAAACGTTGTCAATGAGAATGGTGTAGGTGACGAGGTCGGGCTTGAGGGCGAAGTCGTAGCACATCTCGTCGATGAAGGCATAGATGGAGGAGAGGGGGCGGGACTTGCAGAGGTGCTTGAGGAGGTGGTTGATGGTGAAGGTGTCTGGGGGGCAGTGCTTGGAGGCGAATTCCTTGAGCAATTGGACGATGTGGTCGAGGCGGGAGGCGGAGCATAGGGCGCGAACGGTGATGTCGACGGTGGCAGCGTCGGGGGCGAGGCTAGAGGAGAGCATGAGGTTTAGGGTTTGGTGGATGGGAGAAAGGGATTGGGTGGGATTGGGATTGGGATTGGGAGTGGGAGGAGGCGGCTGGGTTTACGTTGCTGATGAGTGCAAGGGTAGTGTGTATCCTGCGCGAGAAAATTAGGGTCTCATTTCTACATCGGTCATAAGCAAAATCGATGTAGAAATAGTCCCGAATTTCATTTCTACATCAATCATAAGTAAAATCGATGTAAATATGTTTCTATTTTCTATTTATTTATAAGTTTACCACCGTATTTATGATTTACATCAGTTCTACTAGAACCGATGTAAATATGGCAATGTTGAACAATATTTTTGTAGTAGTGAGGCCTTTAGGTAATGCGGTTGCGAAAGAAATACCAAAAACACTCTCTAATTCTAGTGTAGTTCCTCCTGTCAGTAACTCAGTTGAAATAGCTCCACCAACTAGTGATCAAATTTTGGATTATGTGGACGCTGACTCAACTAAAGTTTCTGCTGCTTATGTGGATAATTCAGATTTACCTAAAAAAACTGTTTTAGTCTCTGTTGGCTATTCTTTAGATGGCATGCCACCCTTGGAAGACATATCAAAGGATAAGAATCAGAACCTTTGATCTGATCCTGAGATGGAATTCGATTCGCATGTTGCTATTTCTAACAAGACCGACCAGGATTAAATTCAAGAGCAGCCTCCTTACAGGGTTGGTGAATAACGTGATGAAAATGCTGTAGCCTTCTCTTGTTATGCAACCTTTTCAAAAGCTCATAAGAAGTGAGATTTTACAGCCATTAAGGCTGAACAAGATGATTTTTTACCGAATGTACCTAAGGAGCTTAAATTTATGGCCCCAAAGGTGAGTAGCTTTTTGTTGGATACAAGTCTGGATGGATTAGCGGATTCCTACCAAGTTCAACAAGAATTATCTAGTTATGCCCCCTGAATTATCAAATAGTAAAAACTTCTTTGATTGGTAGAAAGAATGGGGAGGCAAATTTATAATGATAGGCTTAGTTGAGAGGAAAACAAGCTTAGAGGAATAGTTGGAATAGATTTGAGTAGTGGAAATGACTTACTAGTTGCTTGGGATACAAATGTTGGATACATGGCCTATTTATAGGTCTCAACATGACCATTCATGTTTTATGTAGAAGATTCTAGAGATATATATTCTAGAGCTTTCTATCTATATGTAATTGTCTACACAATTCTAGAATTTGTATCATCTACTAGTTACTAGTGTCGCCACCGGCCCGAAACGGGCTTTCGGCATTCGCGAAGGATGGTTGGACTCTTTTATTTGTTTAAAAATATGGATTGCTAGAATGACTTATTCTCAAACTGAGACCTTGTCAAACGAGCAATTTTATTAAAAGGCTCACCAATCCATGTTAATCCCAAGCGGGACCCTCCATGGATTAGCGGTTTTCATAAAAAGGAAGGGTTCATGGAGTCGCCACCAATGTTTTACTCAAAACATTGGAAAAAGAAGTTTAAGGCAATCGATTCAAAAATCGACTTCGGCCATGACAACCAGAGTCGGGTAAGGGAGTCGGTTACGCGTGGGGAAGGTGTTAGCACCCCACAGCGCCCCTTTCGGGTTCCCTATGACAGATTATTTCTAAAAATAATAGTGCGAAATTACTAAATTACCCCTATTTATTCTAAACAATTATAACTTAACTATCTACATGATGACAGTTAAATATACACACAGAAAGCAGTAAAAGGAAGGTCTTAAGAAGAAACCTTTGAAGCGTGCTTTTATATTCAAGTAAAACTGGGAAGCTTTTTGGCGTTCCCTCGCTCTACAAGCCCGCTCGCTCCCTCCTAGAAAATTTTAACTATGGAAATCCGGAGGATTTCCCTTCGACTCAGTTCGAGACTCAAGCAAAAAGCTCAGAACTCGAGAACTTTGTCGGATCAACTCTCCGAGTGATTTCTAGGCAGAGCACTGCTCAAAAAAACCCAGAATACTCAAGAAGAGGGTTAAAACTCAGTGTAAAAGTGTAGAATGACGTCCAATTGACGTCATATTTATAGGGATGAGGCGCAATACGGCCTCTGGGGGTCAATACGGTCCGTATTGAAGTTTTGAACTACAATACGGCCGTATTGAATTCAGTACGGCCGTATTGAAGTTCAAAAAACCTCAATACGGCCGTATTGAGTTCAGTGCAGCCGTATTGAAGTTCAGTGCAGCCGTATTGAGTTCAGTGCAGCCGTATTGAAGTTCAGAAACTTCAATACGGCCGTATTGAGTTCAGTGCGGCCGTATTGTAGTTTAAAATGTTCAATACGGCCGTACTGAACTTTTGGGAGGCCGTATTGGGCTTCATTCCCTCCACTTTCTTATTTTTTGCTACTCTAAGACCTCTAAACCTACAGATTGTCATCCCACGGTCTTCTAAGAGTCCCTTTGGCTGACTTTCCTTTGATCTTCGAGAGTCTTCGAGTCTTATTTCCGACCCGGACAATTTTAGGGGTCTACAGCTAGCATACATCTATGTATTTTCAAATGATCTAGCTTATTCTAGAAGTTTGTATCACATTTTAACACTCCTCCTTGATACAAATTTCTCTAACTCCTATCATAGTGTGAAACTGCTCGAATCTACCTCTCGGTAGTGCCTTTGTGAATATGTCAGCAACTTGCTCTTCGATCTTACAATACACCATCTTGATTTCTTTAGTTGTTTCTACTTCTCTAATAAAGTGGTATTTAATTGCAATGTGTTTTGTCCTACTATGATGTACTGGATTTTTTGTCATTGCTATTGCTGATTTATTATCGTAGTAGATTGTAGTAGGCCCATCTTGTTGTTCTCCCATTTCTGCAAGTATTCTTCGTAGCCAAATTGCTTGACTTGTCGCTTTAGTTGCTGCAACATATTCTGCCTCTGCGGTTAATTGTGCAACTGTTGCTTGCTTTTTTGATGCCCAAGAAAATATTCCTGATCCAAGTGAGAAGGCATAACCAGAGGTGCTCTTCATGTCATCTTTCGATCCTGTTGTAGACACTCAATTTCGTCCGGGGGGCATACGAACACCAAAATAGGACATCAGAGGGTCCAAAAGCCAAATCAACTATTTTTAGTGGCCCGGAACGGGCCGTTCCAAAATCAGAACGGGCCGTTCCTAAGTCTAGAACGGGCCGTTCTCGAACTGGAACGGGCCGTTCCAAGACCCCTAAAAGGTCCCAAAATTTTAGGTTGGAACGGGCCGTTCCAAACCTTTCAAAGGGGCTAAAATATTTGGTCTGGAACGGGCCGTTCCAAATTAGAACGGGCCGTTCTGGGGTGCAACCTTAAACGTAACGTTCAGATCCGGAACGGGCCGTTCTGGCCCACATCTGATGCCTA